CAATCCTACTTCCGTAGTGATACTGCCTCGGAAACCCAAGGAGGGGTCGCTATGAGTCAGGGCTGACTCGACGGCACATAACAACAACAACAACAACAAAATACCAATTTACACACATACACACACAAAACAAGACCATGCTGTCTATGATGTTATAATGATTATGCCATTACTTTGAATCACAAGACAGGTCATTAGATAACTAACTATATTATATAACTGGATAATATACCAATAAGTAACTTTCAATGATTCTTTAAAAGGTTCATTAACATGTTTCAACATTTCCATTAATAAGAAAAAAGCATTGTAATAAACTAATCAAATAAAAAAAGAATATAAAAACAAGAAAAATTTGCAGGTTTTTTTTTTAACTGACTTTTAAGAAGGATTATAAGGAAATTTTATTATACAAACCAGTAACAGGTATCTGGTTCCAAAACCTGGCTATGAGTCAGAATTGCTGGAGAAGCTTTTAGAATTTCCAGACCTCATTCAGATGTATGCAATAAAAATACCCAGTGACAAGGTCTAGGAACATGTATTTTTAACAAGTGCTTTGGCTGATTCCCATGACACTGAGAAGAAGTCATTTGAAAAAAATTTGTTTAGTGCAATTAACAAAAATCTGAAATGCTGAACATTTCTTACAAAATAGAGTACCAGAAAAAAAGTATTTCTTTTCTTCATGGACTGATATGCAAAGGAGGTATGGGCAATGTGGTAGTTATGTTGTGTGTCAACTTGGCTGGGCCTGGTTGAGTGGCTGGACAGCTGGTGGTAGTTATTGTCCATGAATGGGCAATCAACTCCATCTACCACAAGCAGCTGAGTAGATGCTTTGGGTATGTGGTCTGCTTCGCGTACATAAGCAGCAGCTTTGGCAATGATCTCTAGCCTATGGCACGCTTGGACCCTGCGTGTAGCCATGTCATTGTTCAGCAGCCTGCCACGCTCTGCCGACCTTGGGACTTACAATGGACTTAAATGAATGGCCTACCATGTGGTTTGGTAACATCAGGACTGTGCCTTATTATTTGTCGACCTTGGGCTTGTTAGCCTCAGCAGCCAGTAGCTATTTGAGTGAAGAGATATACCTTCAGTGGGCTGGGAACAAGAGGCAAAGCTGAAGCCCAAGGTCAAGGGGCTTTCACCCAGCCTCTAGAGCCTGGCACTTTAAACTTGGACTTTTAGCCTCCAGATTGTGAGAGAATAAACTCCTGTTTGATAAGGCGATCCCATTTGTGGTGTATTCTTGTCAGAGCTGCACTAGGTGACCAGAACAAGCAACACAGAGAGTCTCTGAAAATACTAAAACCCAAATAACCCATTGCCATCAAGTCAATTCCAACTCATAGCAACCTTATAGAATAGAAAATAAGTGTCCCATAGGGTTTCCCAAGGAGTTCTGGTAGCATAGTGCCTAAGGCATTTGACTGCTAACTAGAAGGCTAGCAGTTCAAACCTATCAGCCACTTCTCAGAAGGAGTTGGGCAATAGTTACACCGCCTCAGAAACCCAAGGAAGGGTCGCTATGAGTTGGGTCTAACTCGACGGCACACAACAACAACAACATAGGGTTTCCCGGGCTGTAAATCCTTATGGAAAGAGACTGCCACATTTTTCTCCTGCAGAACAGCTACAAGGATCAAATCTCCGACCTTTTGGTTAACAGCTGAGCACTTAACTGTTGCACCACTATGGCTTCTCAAAAATACTAAACAAAACCAAAAAACCACGGGCATGGAGTTGATTCCAACTCATAGCGACCTCTATTGGGTCTCCAAGGCTGTAAATCTTTACAGAAGAAGATTGCCTCATCAGCCCCCCACAACCTTCTGATTAGCAACCAAATGTTTTACCACAGCTCTTTGAAAATACTAAAGACAGGGCACAAACAGACCTTCAGTTGTCAAAGATTCATTGTGACATATACATGATTGATTAAGTTGAAAAGTTTTTCAGGAAAATCTGAGTAAAAGGTTTTCTCTAAATCCCAGTAATAAGGCTGATGAAGAAAAGCAATAGTATCATTTAACCCTGCATTTTCATAAGGCAAATCATGAAGGCTGGACATGATATTACAAACAAAATAGTCTGAATTACACAAAAGTAATGAGATAAATGACAGAAATAGCAATGACACAAATACCCAAAGTAGGTACTTCACAAGTATAATTCAAATAAAAAGCTTGTTTTTTAAAGTTAAAAATGTTTGGTCTCTATTTAAAAGTTACACTTCATAAAAAATGATAAAGACATACCTTTCAAAAATGCATCATCAAATCGCTGAGCTGATACTTTTTGGGGATACTTGATTCCAGCTCCCCAGGTGACTAATGGAGTTAAAGTCTCTGAAGGATGGCCAGCCCCATGGGAACCTACAAATAAGCCATCAAAAGTCAGAAGGCAGGCACCCACTGACCTTCTAGCTGAACATCGCCCAGGGCTGGGGGCTGCTTGTCTCTTGGGGGCGGCTGTTTATTAAGGCCAGGGCCTGAGGTAGGTGGGCTGGGGCTTGGAGGCTGCTTTTCGCTTGGGGGCAGCTCTGTTTTATGGCCAGGGCCAGAAATAAGCAGGCCGGGATTAGGGACCAGCTTTATGTTTGGGGACGGCTGCTTATTAAGACTGGGGCCTGAGGTACGTGGGCCTGGGGTTTAGGGGCTGCTTTTTGCTTGGGGGAGGCTCTATATTAAGGCCAGGGCTGAGGTAGGTGGGCCCAGGGCTGGGGGCTGCTTTTCACTTGGGGGTGGCTCTTTATTAAGGCAGGGGCCTGAGCTATGTGGGCTCAGGCCTTGTAGGCTGCTTTTCACTTTGGGGCAGCTCTATTTTAAGGCTGGGGACCGAGGTAGATGAGCTCAGGGCTGGGGACTACTTTTCCCTTGGGTGTGGCTCTTTATTAAAGCCGGGGCCTGAGACAGGCAGGCCTGGGCTTGAAGGCTGCATTTCACTTGGGTGTGACTCTAGTTTAAGGCCAAAGCCCAAGACAGGTGGGCCTGGGGCTGGGGGGCTGCTTTTCCCTTGGGGGTGGCTCTACATTAAGCCTGGGCCTGAGGTAGAAGGCCTGAGGCTGGGAGATGCTTTTTGCTTGTTGGCCTCTATTTTAAGGTCATTGCCCTAGGTAGGCAGGTGCAGAGGGGTTAGGAACAACTAAGGGAGACGAACTTGTTTGTCAGTTTGTCGACCTGTGGTGGCTTACATTTTGCAGTGAGGCTAGAAGCTATGCCACCATGTTGGAAAATGCCAGCAGGGTTACCCATGGTGGACAGGTTCCAGCGGAGCTTCCAGGCTAAGACAGACTCGGAAAAAGGAAGAGGCCATCCACCTCTCAAAGAATTTGCCAGTGTCAAACATGGGTATACAGGTGGATAGATGGGTGGACAGGCTGAACTATTAGGTATGTCCATGCAGCGGGGAGTGTACACAAGACCATGCATAGAGTTGGCAGACAATGGTTCTACAAGTGCATCTGTACGTTCATTAAGAATCCCCAGGTGTATAGTACAGCTGACAAGGGACAAGGCTGTAGTCACTTCTTGATCACAGCCAGCTACCCTGAGGGAGTGAGCAGATGAACCTGTGGGCTCGGGACCATAGTTGCAGGGGACATCAAGCTCAATTGGCATAACACACTACACCTCCTACTTTGGCTGGGATCTTAAAAGCTTGCAAGCAGCCATCTGGATACAATGATGGTTCTCTCCTCATCCAGAGCAAAGAAGAATGAAGAAAGCCAAAGACACATGGAAACAATTAGTCCAAGGGACTGGTACACCATGCAATTCACAGACTATATGACTATGAGACCAGAAGAACTAGATGGTGCCCAGCTACCACTGTCAACCACTCAGAGGGGGATCTATGTAGGAGATCCTGGATAGAGAGGGAGAACAATGTGGAACAAA